AGCCTCAACTGTAGGAAACACTGGCAGGCGTGGCGACTTTGGGAGTTGGGAAGTGGAAGGCTGAATCTTGCACTTACACGAAAGCCTACGAGCAGCGGGTTAGGAGGCATTTTTTGTTGTGTTACGTGTTTCCGAATAATAGAGGACAATTCAACATGTTCACAAGGAAAACTTTAGGGCCCTAAAACCCTATTATTTGGGTCCTTGGACCCTTAGGGTATACTAATCTGTCATTACACTAAGTACCTTGCCCGCCAGCGCGCGGGTCTAAAAACTGAAAGCTGGGATTCTCTGCTGGCTTTGCAAACGATACGTAACAACTGCAACAGGGCTTTGGATATAGGGCATTTTTTCTCTTCGGAAGCTCCCAAGTCTCCCTTGAAGGAGTTTGCATCCCACCTGACGTATCAATCCTAAAGCTCGAAACCCTAAGCGTGTTCCACCTGAGCAGAGGCTAACCCTAAGGGTCCAAGGACCCAAATAATAGGGCTTTAGGTCCGAAATACCATTAACACTGTAGTGTTTGGGCCCTAAAGCTGCTACTTAGGTCCTTGGACCCTCAGGGTAATGTATGGGTTGTGTGGTTGCCTCGTTGGTACCCTATGAAGACCTCAGCTGGGTCTTGAAGGCTTGGAGGGCTGTTTGCAGCCTGAAAGTGGTCTGCATGTGCAGCCACAAGGGTACCGAATTCTCTCTTCCCCAATAACCAGGGCCAGAAAAGTTCAAACTTGAATAAGACCAAAGGAGGAAGGCCTAAAAGTTTCAAGTTCTTCCATTGGCTAAGCAAGAGTTCCAAAGTGAGGCACATCGGCTGTTCGCCCTCGTGGAATGCTTCCAAGACATCCAGGAATTCAAGAGCCTTGTTCTGCAGAATGCGAAGGAGCTCACTGTCCACGCTCAAGATGTCTTGAATTTTGACGTAGCCTTTCGTAGAAGTCTTGAGCCCTGACGGGTCTAGCCATTCCTGTTTGGAAATTTGCGCCCTCAGCCTGGGACGACGATTCTGCGAAGGCTAGATGGGTCTGTCTAAATTGTGTGGCATGCCCCGTGTCGCGGTCCAGTCGACGACTTGCGAGATAATTAGTTCTCAATTTTTTCATAACATATCTTCCAAATGGGAGATAAGTGCCAGACACCCACCTGAGCTGAAAACGCTAAGCACGCAACCCCAACCATCTCCAAATCAAAACTAGCAAAAACAAAAGCCTAATCTCTACACCCTCTATCCCAAGTCTTACCCCCTTATCCCTACCCCCCTACACCCTATAACCCTAAACCCTAAACCCCTATACCCCCAACCCTAAACCCGAACCCTAAACCCTAAACCTTAAACCCTAAATCCTAAACCCTAAACCCCTATACCCTCAACCCTAAACCCCCACACCCCCCGGGTCCCAAACCTCGCGCTCCACGCGCGCAGTCGCACCGGCTTTTGCAGTGCGAACCTGCCACCAGGGTTTGGTGTACTGCAGGACCTTAAGATTTAGGGGGTTTAGGGTTTAGGGTTCAGGGTTGAAACAATCAGAAAATGGAGCATCACATGGAAGAGAAANNAGAAAGTGGAAAGTGAAATGGAAACGGAGCCTCTACTGGGATTTACAGGGATTGTTGTGTAGGGGCCTCAATGGGCTATAGTTATCCAAGAACTGTAAGAGGTACAGTAACAAATGTTCAAACGTTTACATCAGCCAACCACCCCTGAGAACGAGTATCTCCCAAACCACCCAATGTATGGCTTTCAGGGTGGCACCTATAGTCTCCGAGCAATTCCCACATGTCCCCAGATCTCTGGGGTACCATACACGCTAACTTCTCAACATCGGAACTCTACCGGAAGCCAAGATATCAAAACACGCCTAGGACCCACAAGATCTCGAGTAAATGATCCTTATCAGCACGTGTGTTTTGGGTTTAGGGTATGCGAACCTAGGCAGAAACCCGACGCATACCAATCAAATCCAATGCAGGAAGCAAGTTCCATAGGCTCTGAACATCGGCCATGGCATGTCCCCCAGTCTATAGACTTAAGAAACCAGGCTAAAATTATAGAAGCAGCTATAATAATCACTCCATACCATCACTATGCAGATTCGCAACTCACTGTAGCCCTGAACTGTACCCCTGACACAGTTTGCGTCCTAAGCCCTAACCCTGAAGAGTTGAACCCATGCATCCCTACAGTATTCCCAGGCCCCCAAACC